TCAGCGCAGCAACAGCAGCCACCAAGTGACTCGAGCAGGCGAAAACGGTGGAGCAATGGCAGCCATGGCGCCATCGTCGGCCCCCTCGCTGGCGTGCGCGCTCCCCAGCGGGTGAGCGCGCCGCCGTCGAGCGGCCTGGCCACGGTGCCTCTTTGGCCTAAGCCCAGCGAGCAGCGCCCTAGCTCGGCCTTCTTCTCCCCGCGCGCCGGCGAGACAGCAGCGCTGCGCAACAGCGAGGTAGGAATCCCCTTCCCCAACATCCCCCTCTTATTTCTTTGCTATTTCTGTTCGGATTCAACCGATTTAGGATGGGGATCGAAGTTAGGGTTAGGGTTTCACTGTAGTTCTTTTTTTCCGAATTGATTATGGGTTTTAGGGTTCGGTTTAGACGTGAAATCGAGCCCTCCTTCTTTCTTTAACCCAGTTAGGGTTAGGGTTCATCCGAACCCTCAGTTCTTGTTAGAGCCGCACTGGATCTAACCGTCCTTTTCCTTTTCTAATCGGTTTACCCATTCTAGATCTAAAACCCTAGAAAACGATGGCTCTAGTAACAATGTTAGAATCTGGATCGTACTAGGGGTTAGATCCGAAGGGATACATTCTGTTGAATAGTATCACAAAACCTGGAACGTCTACTAGAGCAGGTAGAACGAGAGAAAGGGAGAGGTAGAAGATGGGCGTGTCAAACCTGACACCATAGTGGTGGAAGATCCGCTAGCGTCCGCCATGGACTCGATGTCTGCGCTAGGGCAGTGACGGGCGGTGAAGATGGCATCGGTGATGCGCGGTGGTGACCGGCGGTGAAGGCAGTGGAGTCCGGTGGCGGCGCGGCTGGTGGCTTCCCGTCACTGGCTGCGCGCCCTCTAGATCGGATTAGGGTTTAGATGTCGGTGGGGAGCTCGGCTCAGGTCAACCTCGTGATAAGAGCCGCCGGCCCCCACATCTTTTTATAGCGCAGGGTGACAGGGGCTCTCCAGCCATGGTGGGCTGGGCGCCCTCGATCAGGGCACGAATCAAAGGCCCAACTGGGCCATTGGGTCCAGTTAGGATTAGAGATCAATCTAACAAATCCAGCTCCAACCAATGCCGTTTCCACATTTTCCCACCTGTATTCTGTTTTCTCAGGAAAATTTGAGTACAAGACGGAACTAGGAAAATGGGACCGGCATGTTCTGTTTTCTCACTCAATACAAGACCGAACCAGGAACAGCTTAATATAAACGGGACTGTGGAAAGAGTTGACGCGTCTTTCTGACCGTTTATTTTAATAAAAACGGGACTGAAAACAGTTGAGGCATTCTCCTGCTTGTTACTGCCAGCATTTTGGCTGATTTTGTACAGGAAGTCCCGCCAGCATTCCCATTCTTCCAGCCGGGTTGCACATGATTGTGTGCGGCACGTGCCAGCCCATCTATGGCTCAGACCACACTCCATCGCCCGCAAGCGCATCTCTGCTCTGGACGCTGACGGCTGGCGCGAGGTCCTATCGGGGGGGCCATTATGCGGTACCAACAGGGCACATCCAGTAGACCGTTGATCCTCTACTCGCTTTCCGATAGCCCTATACGAGAAGTGCTTCAACTGCCTCTCTTCCTCGCACCCGGTGGCGACTTGCAGGCTGTCGCCACGCTGCCTACGCTGCAAAGGGTTCCGGCACCTCGTGTGCAAATACAAGCGGTCGCGAGTGGTGGCTCCTAGCAGATCCGGTGCATCGAGGGACGCAGGCAGTCTGCCACAACGACCTTCTCGGGGCCATCGCAACAACACCTCAGGCCCTCAGCCACCCGCCCACACCGGTCCGGAGGTCTCGGATGCAGCTGTGCCTATGCTGATTCCGCCACACACGTCGACGGAGGGCGTCCACATCGATGTAGGCGACGCCGGAGACGGCCGGGGACGACACCTTGGTAACGCTGATAGACTCCTCCGGTGATGCTGCAGCAGCTCGGGCTGAGCGTGGCGAGCCAACAAAAGAGACACTCCTACTCGAGCTCGACCCGTTGACATTGACATTGTGGCCTCATAGCCACAGAGAGACCTACGAAGTCAATGTGGACGGTGATGCGCCATTAACCGTGAGGGAGATATGAAAGACAAGGTCGTCCAACTCTAGCTACTGCTACGAATAATCCACCATTCGTGTAGCATTAGCGTGATAATATTAATGCTCCATGCCAGACACCCCCTGCTAGGCGCTCATCCATGCCTGAAATCGATACTCTAGGGCAAAGTGCTACGACACAGTGGCGGACCCAGAGATTGAATGGAGCCTGAGTGGACCTTAAGTAGGGTAGGGTTTCGGACGGGGTTGCAAACCTACGTGAAAGCTAATTTGCACGAGTGAATAGTTCTGTCATTATCCATCGAGGGTGGATGGTAAAATGTAAGAAACTATGTCTTTATGAGAAACATACAGATACAAAAAGATGTAACGGCTGGATGATAGAAAAAACAAGACAGGTAATTAGATAAAAAAGCTATTTTAAAGAAAGCATTTATTGAGAGTATAATTTCTTTGTGCAGTGTCTATATGACTTGATAAATATACTCATAATTTCTAGGTTGAGACTATCTTAACAATTTTCTTCTTGCATAGAGAAATAGAACACAAACATAACAGTCACACAGGAGTACTGGAGCATAGTATAGCCATCGGTCCTTCTGCCATTATCGAAGTTTTAGAACTACAGCTGGCCGAAGAGACTAGCACCAAATATCTTACCTCACGTGCAGCCATAGGCCGGTTCATTACTCCACTGCTACTGCATTTTGTAACTACCATGGGCATCCGGTCAACGCGTCTGTTACACGCTCTTCTCAAGACAGACCACAAAACTCAAAAGCTGCTAGAGTATGTGCGGTGTGTGCGAGTGCTACCTGCATTGTCCAGTGCCGCTTGCAAGGGAGCCCGGGCAGGCGCCCAGGGTCGCCGGGCCCTGGGTCCGCCCATGCTACGAGAGTTTGAGTAGGTATAAGGGGACTGTAGACAATCATCATCAATAGTCGTCTAATCCCCAAACATTTTGTCACCCTTCAGCTGCTGGAGATGACTTGTTCACAGGATAGACCCAACTGCGAATTTAGTGACTCAATGTTTTTTTTCGAGGAAATAGTGACTGAAATGTTACCTGCTGACGATATGTATTCTTTTAATTAGCCTGTAGAAGTTATGGAGCCTCTAATCACCTCAGGAATGATGCCCTGCAGCTAGGTAGGATATATGGAAGATCAGATAGGGATGGTGAAAGAATTTATCATTTCTTCATTTGTTGTTTGAAACTTTGCAAGGTAAAGGAAAAGGCCCTTAAAAAAACACGTGCAAGAATGACAACGATGCAAATTCAGTGTTTCTGCATAAACTGCTAGTTGTGGGGTGTTTGATTCGTCCTTTCAGATCACTGAGAAATTGCAGTGACAATAACACTGCCCTGCAAACTTGGCGAAATGGTTTTTTCCACCTCAGACAGCGATGTGTGGGTGTGGCTATCTGCTATCACTATTGGAGATTTATTGGGCATCCAGAGTTAATGTTCCAGGGATGACCAGGTCACCATGTGCTTTACACCTCTGTTTTTCTTTTAGGTACTGCCAACCAAATCTCCATGCACTGTGCAGCGTGGTTACATCAAGATGGAGAGTTGCTGAGTCAAAGACTGGGAAGCACAGCCGTAGAGAGACCTACGAAGTAAATGTGGACGGTGATGCGCCATCAACCGTGAGGGAGATATGAACGACTGGGTCATCCAGCTCAAGCTACTGCTGCGAATAATCCACCATTCGTGTAGCATTAGCATGATAATATATACTACACAACCATGTGTTTTATGCAATTTCAACATATGAATTTTTTTACACCATAAGATTAAGATCCAACAGCCTCAACCATTCTTCTACCTTCAGTCTTCTTCTACCTTCAGACAATCACAAGATCACAAATCCACAAATCACAGATCACAGGAAACAATTTTTTTCTATAGAAAGACAAATCACAGATCCGCCACCGCCACCGCCGCAGGTCGCGTTGAGGACGAGTGGCCGGTAGGACGACACACATACGAAGAAAAACGTGTGCCCCTCTGCGTACGCTTCAGGTAAAAAATTAGTCTACACGTTGATTGCTTGCCTCTGTTTCAGTAATCGTGCATGCTGACATCTCCCTGACACCTGATTAATCAATCGAACATGACAAGTTGTTTACCATTTCATCCCGTGCGACGTATTTTTGCAACTTGTGCAGGTGCAATGCCTATCGTCACATGGTTCGCTGGTTTGATGAAGCGTGCGTGCACTGCCGTGAAGCCGACGACATCGCTTCCCCATCAGATCAGTGGACCGAAGCAGCAGTGTATCGTGCATGTACACAGATTGCACCAAAAAATCCATGTGTTTTTTTTGCTAAAACACATGTGTGTTGTATAGCATTTCTGAATATAAATGCTCCATACCAGACCCCCTGCTCGGCCCTCATCCAAGCCTGAAATCCATACTCTGATCCCTGATCCCTGATCCCTGAGCAAAATGGTACTGTTTGGGCTTGATTGTTCCAACTTCCAATAGCGTTGCTACGGTCCTACCTCTGTTCTCTGAAACCACTCTGGATCTTATAACTCCGACATCTTGTTTACCGGGTAAAAAATAGAAATCATCCCAGAGGTGCGGCTGAGTAAGTGAAACCCATCCTCTGCAGTTCGTCTGATATTTGTTTTCCGTTTCTACTTGTATCTGTCACGTCAGCAACTTTGTCCGTTTGTGGTATTAAGCGTTTCCAATAAAACAGCAGATTATAGAAAGAACCCTTTTTGATCGAAAAATATGGGGGACTTCCCCAAATTGCATGTCCTTATTATAATTTTTTTTAGATTGTTTGTACGAGCAAAGATTTCAAGAAATGACATTAGAAGTACCTATACAAAAATATTCAGTGCTTGTACTGATGCTTTCAGTCTCCGAGTGTGATTGGGGAGAAACTGTGACCTGGATTGTTTGGAGAGTAAGCGGAGATGGCAGAGACAGCGCTCAGCCTGGCAAAGTCGATCCTGGGCAGCGCCGTCAGCAAGGCGGCATCAGCTGCCGGTACTGAGATAAGCTTGCTGATGGGCGTGCAGAAGGAGATGTGGTAAGCATGCTGTAACTGCCTCCCAGCTGATTTATTCAGAGCATAAATAGGAAGCTCACTGTCCAAATATCTAGATTTATCCGGCACAAAATAAATAACGACTAAGTAGGTTTGTGATTGAGTCCTGGAATCAACATCGAACACCGTTTTTGTGTTACTTTGGCTCTCCTACCATATATAGGCTCTACACAGTCATTAGCATACCATAATACAAAGGTTCCATGTGGCTTAAGTTCCTTTAATGAAGGTGGGAAACTGCCTGTCACTACTGCAGAAAATCGAGGCGGGCAAAACAGATTAACCGAGACGGGCAAGCCGTCCGCCTCCGTCCAAAGGTCAAGTTTAATCTAGCCATAACAGAGGCGGTATTGGCCAACCGCCTCGGTTAATAGATTAACCGAGGCGGTCGGCTTAAGGCAACCGCCTCGGTCAATCCACTACGGGAGAGGCAAAATTCCCCAAGTGTCTCTGGCTTCCCCGAATGCCAAAAATCGGGCACTCGGGAAAGAGAATCTTCCCCGAGTGTTGCACTCGGGGAATAATTGCACTCGGGGAAGAGAGGTTTTTCCGAGTGCCGCAGAGATCTTGGCACTCGGTAAAGAGCAGCACTCGGCAAAGGCCCTCTTCCCCGAGTGCAACACTCGGGGAAGATCGGCACTCGGCAAAGAAACATGTTACTTGACGGTTCACCCCGCCCACGCCGTTAAAACTTAAAAAAACAAAAATTCTTCCCCGAGTGCCAGGAAGACACTCGGGGAAGAGGCCCTTTTTCGAGTGTCAGAACATGACACACGGGGAAGAGGCTGCCTTCCCCGAGTGCCCTGTCCTGGCACTCGGGAAAGGGCCTCTTCCCTGAGTGCCAGAAAAGGCACTCGGGGAAGATTTTTTGTTTTTTTTTTGTTTTTTTTACCTTATTTTTTTTGTGAGGCCTTCCCACATTATTTAAAACTGCCTATTCAAATTTGGGACAATTTTGACTTTTTGTGTTATATTTCGTTAGTTTTTTTCGTTTCGTTGAATTTTTTTGCATACTTCGAATTTGAACTGCAGGTGTATGAAATAATGGAATTTGGTGATTCAAAAAATTATATTAATGATATTTGGTGTATGTTGATGCCTTATCTAGGAACTCGCATGAAATGTCGAGCATCTTGTTGACGTAACATGACGAACAACTTGCGGGAAAAGTGTATTTAAATTATATAAAATCCGAACGAAGTCTGAAAATCACGAAACTTGTCTGGGCGTCGTGTTATCGCATGTAGAGGCTATGATAAAAAATCGAGAAGGTTTCGACGAAGTTGCGACGTCGGATGCCTAAAACCCAGACATCTCTGCATGCTTTGTTGTTTACATGGAAAAGCAAAAAACAAAAAAAAAGAATTTTAGAGGTGGCTTCCCCGAGCGCCTGTGCTGTGGCACTCGGGGAAGAGGGATTTTTTTTTAAAAAACAAATTTCTTCCCCAAGTGCCTGAACTGCGGCACTCGGCAAAGAGTATTTAAAAAAAATTCAAAAATCTTTCCCGAGTGTTGCACTCGGGGAAGAAAATCAAAAAAAAACGACGTCGGTCGTCGGCCAACGGCGTCAAGTCTTCCCCGAGTGTCAGCACGGCACTCGGCAAAGCCTTCCCCGAGTGTACGATTTTTGACACTCGGGGAAGGCGACTTTCCCGTGAGAGGATTAGCCGGAGGCTCTTCCCCGAGTGTTGCACTCGGGGAAGGCTTCCCTGAGTGTTGCACTCGGGGACTTCCCCGAGTGCAACTGGGCCTTCCCCGAGTGCAACTGGCACTCGGGGAATCCAGCAGTTCCTGTAGTGATCAAATAACCGAGGCGGGCGCAGTAAAACGCCTGCCTCTGTAAATAATTTCATGAATTAAAAAAAAAAGCCTGGCAAGCCCAGTGGCCCACCGAGCCCGCTGCCACCGCATCCTTGCCGCCACCGCCATAGAAGGGCTGAGCCCCGCGCCGCGCCCCCGCCACCAGATCCGGTCGAACCACCACCGGATCCGCACCTCCTGAACCAGATTCGGTGCATGGGGGAGGAGGGGCGCTAGGATCCGTTGCGTGGGAGAGGAGGGATCTGACATCGGGAGTGGAGAAGAAGGGCCGCTCGTCGCATCCGTTGCTTGGGGGAGGAGCGGCTCCGCCTCCACAACCAGATCCACCGCCGGGGGAGCACAGGCAGCCAGATTTGGCTGCTCCACCATGGAGGAGGGCGCCGGACGTGGAGTAGGGTCAAGGAGGAAGGGCGAGGCTGCGCTGCCGCCCCGGGAGGCCGCGCCGCGCCGGGAGCCCGTGAGGCCGCGCCGGGATGCGCTCCACGCTCACACCCGCGAGGCCGGGACCTCCAACACCACAGCCGAGGGAGGTGAGGGAGGGAGGGAGAGAATGAGAGAGGTGAGGGAGAGGAGAGATGCATGAGAGAGGAGAGGGAGAGAGGGAGATGTGGCTGCTCGCTTTGTCCAGTGCGACTGTGGGAGGGGGGAGAGAAGTGAGAGAAAACCCTAAGTGATGACTTATATATGAGCCCGGTAGACTGCTAGGTATGGGCTTTGCATTGGCTCGAAGTCGGCCAGTATTTTCAATGACGGGCCTTATAGTGTGCCCGCCTCCGAAAATAGATTTACGAAGGCGGTTGCGTTACGACGACCACCTCAGTTAATATCGATTAACTGAGGCAGTTGCTTTAGGCCGACAGCCTCGGTTAATAGATTAACGGAGGCAGTTGCATTACGAGGTTGCCAACCGAGGCGGTTGCTGGGCCAGCTGTCCTGCCACGAATAACCGAGGCGGGCAACCGGCCCAACCACCTCCGAGGCCATTTTCTAAACGCCTTGTAAAAGTTTTTATGTAGCAGTGTGTGCCAACTCGAACGTTGTTGCACAGATTTATTCTTTTCTGCGCGGTGAATATGAATTTATTTTGAACTTTGTTTCACAGGTTCATCAAAGATGAGCTAAAAACCATGCAAGCATTCCTGCAAGCTCCTGAAGTAACTGAGAAAAAGGATAAACTAGTGAAGGTTTGGGCAGAGCAAGTACGAGATTTGTCCTATGACACTGAAGATTGCCTTGACGAGTTTATGGTCCATGTTGGGAGCCATAGCTTGTCAAAACAGTTGTTGAAGCTCAAAGATCGTCATCGAATAGCTGTCCAGATTCGCAATCTCAAATCAAGAATCGAAGAAGTCAGCAGCAGGAATGCACGCTACAACTTAATCAAGACAGAATCCTCCAACGTATCTGATGATATGGATTCGAACATGGAAGATATCCGCAATAACTCAGCAAGCAACGTTGATGAAGCAGAACTTGTGGGCTTTGCTTCACCTAAAAGAGAGTTGATTGCTCTGATTGATGTCACCGCCATGAACGGTCCAGCTAAGGTGATATGTGTGGTTGGCATGGGTGGTTTAGGGAAGACTACTCTTGCAAGGAAAGCCTATGAAAGCAAGGAGGATACTCTGAAGAGCTTTCCTTATAATGCTTGGATCACCGTGTCACAATCATTTTCTAGGAGGGGGATGCTCCAGGACATGATCAATCAATTTTTTGGTGCTAATGCATTGAACGATCTCTTGAAACAACTTGCAGGAAAAGTGTTGGAAGAGGGCCTTGCTAGCTACCTCAGAACAGAGCTTCAGGATAAGAGGTACTTTGTTGTTTTTGACGACCTATGGGAAATAAATCACTGGAATTGGATTAGTGGTATTTCACTTCCTAGGTCAAATAACAAAGGTAGTCGGATAATTGTTACTACCAGAGATGCTGGCTTGGCAAGACATTGTACTTCAGAATTACTCATCTACCACCTGAAACCCCTAGATATAGATGACGCCATAAAGTTGCTACAAAGAAAGACAAACATAATAGATCACGACATGGACAATGACAAGAACCTGAGAACACTAGTTACAAAAGTAGTAAGGAAGTGTGGAAATTTACCATTGGCAGTACTCATAATAGGAGGTGTTCTAGCCACTAAGAAGATAGCAGAGTGGGCAAACTTCTATAAAAATCTCCCTTCAGAGCTTGAAGATAACCCAAGCCTAAGCAGTACGTAGGGTGGTGACCCTCAGCTACAACCACTTGCCCTCACATCTTAAGCCATGTTTTGTATATCTCAGCATCTTCCCTGAGGATTATGAAATCAAAAGAAGTCATGTGGTAGGCAGATGGATAGCAGAAGGGTTTGTAAGAGCAAAGGTTGGGACAACCATTGATGAGGTTGGGAAAGAGTACTTTGATGAGCTAATCAGCCGGAGTATGATTCAATCATCAAGATTGGGTATAGAGGGATGTGTCAAAACTTGTCGAGTTCATGACATCATGCGTGATATCATAGTCTCAATTTCTAGAGAAGAAAATTTTGTCCACTTAATCCACAGTAATGGAATTAATGTACCAGAGGAAAACTTCCGTCATGTTGCATACCACGACAGCAAGTGCCAAAAGGAAGGCATGGATTGGAGGCATATTCGATCATTAACTTTTTTTACTGAGGGGTCTGGTGGTCGGGATCTGGATGTCACACCTTCAATTTCTACACCTAAGTTGAGGATGCTAAGAGTTTTGGATTTAGTGGGTGGAGGATTTAGAATCACACAAGATGATATAAACAAGATAGTGCTGCTGTGTCACTTGAAATATCTGAAAGTCAGGGCTTACTGGTCAGAAATCTATTCACTTCTGAGTGACATAGGAAATATGCAAGGCCTACAGATTTTGGACATGGGACGCACTTATATTACAACTATGCCAACAGAAATCACTAAACTTCGAGATCTCCGTGTCATCCGGTGTAATAGGATAGGCTATTCTTTTTTGGATCCAGATGAACCAGCGCGTTGTTTGTTTGCCACATTGTGCCTGCCAATCCTAATAGCTGATTCAGACAGACGTGCCAGAGCAATTGGTGATCTACACATGGGCTGCTCTAGCGGTTGGTCCAGGACTGGTGGAGATGGAGTGAGGGTTCCAAGAGGAATTGGAAACCTAAAAGAGTTGGAGATATTAGGGTCTGTGGACATTAGAAGAACTAGCAGCAAAGCAGTTAAAGAGCTCGGGGAGCTGACCCGATTAAGAAAATTAGCCATAGGAACAAACGGGGCTTCCAAGAAAAAGTGTAAGATACTTTGTGAATCCATTGAGAAGCTCTCTTCCCTTCGTTCTCTCAGTGTGGAGGGCCTGGAGGCCGACAAACACCAGGGTAGAGGACTTGGATGGTTGATTTCTTCTACCTCCCTCCTCCCCACCTGAGGAAGTGAGGAGCCTCAGGTTGGGCGGATACATAGGAGAGATGACCGACTGGTTCATGAATCTTACACACTTGGTGAAGATTGAGTTTATAGATTGCCAGCTAATGGAAGAGAAAACCATGGAGATACTTGGGAAGCTGCCAAAACTCATGCGCCTTCAGTTTTACCGCAGTGCATACCTTGGAGAGAAATTAGTGTTTGGAACCAGAGCATTCCTGAACCTCAGGGCATTTGAGATTTGGGGCGATATGGACCACCTGAAAGAGATTAGATTTGAGGAGGGCACTGCATTTTGAAGTCAGGGATTATTGGTGTCAAGCACCTTCCAAGTCTCAAGGTGATTTCACTCAATTCATCTACGGTGGCGAGGCTCCGCATGCTTGAAGAGGAAGTGAACGCACACTCGAATCGTCCTGTCCTGCGGCTGTCAGAGGACCGAAACTGGCATGACCTGGGAGACGTTGAAGGATCCAATGTGGAGGTGGAAGCCACAGAATCCTTTCCTGACGACGACACAAAGGTCAGCGAACCTTGTGCAGTAGCAGCTTTACCTTCTCGTTACGTTTATTTTCAGCAGAACTAATTTGTCAACGCAAATAATGTTTTTATGCTTACAATTCTTCTCTCTGCTTGTCTGCAGTGAAATCCAGCCCTCTTCTAGTTGATGCTGCTGCCTGCTGCTCTGCCTGTGTGGCTGTGCCCATAGCCTCTCTCTGTAGTCTGTACGCGGCTGCTGCAGGTCTTGGCGTGCCACAAAGAGGACCTTACGCCGTGTTGGCAGCTACTGCTCGAATCTCCTAGTGTTTGATTTGTTTCATCTGTTTGCAACAAGAAGTAATGATGTTATTTTTCTTCCAAGACCTACTAGTATGATGTTTATTCGAAACCAGCACATTGGCTCCATTTATTCCATGTTTGATGTAAACAAGCAAATAACCATTGTGTATGTTCTGAAGTCTACAGCACATAACACAGTGGAAGATTTCATAACTAAACACCAACCTTCTGCTTGTTTTTTTTTAACTTATGATGAGTTTTGAGTGCAGGGATGGAGCTCTGCTTGTCGTTTGGGGGTCACTTACGACAGAAACACCTAATTTACTACAACTAATTTACACTTCATTTGACTCGTCAAAGAGATGAGATGTCCTTAGCGCCGCTGTTGTCCTATGCGTGCCTGGGTGAGCTGACGTAGGCGTTATGGTGTTGTTGCTCGGAGTAGACTTGCAGATAATCGTCACAGCCGGGATGGTGTGGTTGGCTAGGACCTACAGACCGATCCTGTTCTCACAGCCCCTAATGTGCTCAGTTAGTCATTGACTAATTTGTTAATTCTACCTTTCTTCTTGATGAAAAGCTTACTATCCCTAGTCTCACTCTAAATATATGGAGCAGTTATATATCAATTTTTTTTGCGATAATTATTATCAACTCAACACCACTAAATCACTATATTTATAGCAGATCATTCTATCTCGATGAGACAATCACTTATATTAATACCTCAAATTAAATAGCAAAAAATTCTGCATTTAACTTTTCGTCTAGCAGAATCTTGGAATGGCTTCACCATCCGCTCGCAAAAAATACCGTTCTAATCCGAGCCAGACCGTCCATAACAGTTTTTCTTTGCGGCGCCCATGTCCTTTTTCTTTTCATTTTTCTTCAGAAATGCTATACAACACACATGTGTTTTAGCAAAAAACAAACACACATGTGTTTTGGATTTTTTTGTATGTCTCTCCCTCTCTCTTTCTCACCGGTGACCACCGGCGCCGGCGCCGGCGACCAGCGAGCTCGCCCCGGTGCCCGCGCCAGCCATGACAGTGGCGGTGGCGACGGCGGCGGAGGATCTGTTATTTGTCCTTCCATAGAAAAAAATTTATGATCTGTGATCTGTGGAGGCTGTAGGTAAAAGAAGGGTGGAGGCTGTTGGATCTTAATCATATGGTGAAAAAAAATTCATGTGTTGAAACTGCATAAAACACATGGTTGTGTAGTAGACAGACTCTTTTTCTTTCGGTAATGTTGGGAAGCGGGCGTCCGTTTGCCCGGACGCTCTGTCGGCAGGCCGCAATGCTAGACAACTACCCCCTCCTATCCGCTCGGGAGTTTGTAAAAAAATCAGTTTTTCTGCCTCGCGGTCCTCTTGCTTCCCAATGACGTCGCACCCTGCGCGCAGCTTGCACTGCCTTGGCGTAGCGCCGTCGCCATAGCCCCGCCAGCAACCAACAACCGCGTGCCCCCACCGCCTCCTCGCTGCTCTGACCCGGCATCGCAACACCCTCCCCGCCCAGCTGCCACGCTGCCCACGCTTGCTCCCCCGCGCCTCGGACCATTGAGGACCGCTGGCTCCTAGAACTTAGGGTAGAAGCCGAGTACCGCCGGCTGCCCTTCTTCCGGGATCCGTCCGTCACCTCCTTGAACTCGATGTGAGCGCCATCTTCTCTACTCTTCGCCAAGATCCGCTCGCCAGCATAGCTCCGCTCCTCGCCCCGGGCCGCTGCATCCGTTGAACTCCACACGCTGACGAACCTACATTCTCGCAAGCAACAAGGAGATATTGCGATGAAAGCACATGTTGCAAGCCTATGTTTTAAGTGTTTCAGATGTTTCAGAGGTATGTTGCAAGAGTTTCATAAGGATGTTGCAAAAGTGGATCAGGATGTTGCATATGTTACAATGGTTGTACACATATGTTGCAAGCGTCTTTCCCAATGTTTCAACTGTTTTTCAGACGTATGTTGCAAGTTTGTTTATCTGAATGTTGCATATGTTTCACATATATGTTGCAAATGTTATATCTGCATTTTTCGTATGTTTGCAATGGTTTTCAAGTGTTTTTGCAAGTGTTTTGAGATGCATATTTCAAGTGTATTATCTGTCTTCTTTTGTTTAAGTGTTGCATCTAGATGTTTCAAAAGTAGGTCACGTGTTGCACATGGGATGCGCATGCGAAGTGGGAGGGGGCGCGAGCGGTCCCTGGGTGGGCGACGTCAAGACGGCTCAGGCCACCGCATGGGCGCAGGCGTGGGCGGGCGATGTTCGAGCAGCATGGGCCCCATGTGGACGCGTGGAATGGGGCGCAGAAACAGAGTGCTAACACTGGAGCCACGGGCGTCCATCCGGACATCTGGACGCTAGCAATACCGTTTTTCTTTCGTTGTAATCCGCCCGCTCGCGGGGGCGGTGTTTCCCGCGTAAGTTCCTTTTTTGTTTTTCCTTTTCCATTAAAGTATCTTTTTCTTATAAATATTAGAAATAAATAATAAATATAATATTATGAATCTTTAGACCCTTGTTTTTTTCTAGTAGATAAATAGTTTTACCACTACATTTTTTGTTTTAATTAGAAATAAAATTTATTCTTATTAAAATCTAGATCATCCGATGGTTCAACTAACTCGTGAACTAAAGTCATCAGCAGTTTATTATTCAATTTAATCAAAACATTTGTATCTTCAAACTGTATGCATATATAAGTGCAATCCTCAACGAGGATTGCCTCGTTGAAATCGAGAGTGGTCTTCGTCAAAATTTACCATTGTTTTAAATCTCCGGCTAAGACGTTTAGTGGATGACCTCTAAAAGAGGCTATAGCGGAGCTAAATGAGGCTATAGCGGGCTATAGCCGCTAAGTTGTACATAAACACAAATAACTTCATTTACCTCAAACAGCTATAGCGGGCTATGGCGACAGCTATCCATCCCAGATTCGCAACCTCAAGACAAGAATCGAAGAAGTGAGCAGCAGGAATGCACGCTACAACTTAATCAAAACTCAATCCTCCAACATCACTGATGAGATGGATTCCAACATGGACGTGATTCGCAACAACTCACCTACCAAGATTGATGAAGCAGAACTTGTGGGTTTGCTGCACCTAAAAGAGAGTTGATTGCTCTGATTGATGTCACCTCTATGGACGGTCCTGCTAAGGTGATATGTGTGGTTGGCATGGGTGGTTTAGGGAAGACAACTCTTGCAAGGAAAACTTATAACAGAGGTAGCCAAATAATTGTTACTACCAGAAATGTTGGCTTGGCTATGCACTGTACTTCATAAGAAAACTATATCTACCACCTTAAGACCCTACAAATTTATGATGCCATAAAGTTGCTACTAAGAAAGACAAACATGACACATGACAAAATGGACAAAGACAAGAACCTGAGCACAATAGTTACAAAAGTAGTAAAGAAGTGTGGATATTTACCATTGGCAATACTCACAGTAGGGGGGGGGTGGTGTTCTAGCCACTAAGAAGATAGCAGAGTGGGGAAACTTCTACAGAAAGCTCCCTTCAGAGCTTGACAGTAACCCAAGCCTTGAAGCAGTACGGAGGGTGGTGACCCTCAGCTACAACCACTTGCCCTCACATCTTAAGCCATGCTTTCTATATCTTAGCATTTTCCCTGAGGATTATGAGATCAAAAGAAGTCATCTGGTTGGTAGATGGATAGCAGAAGGATTTGTAAGACCAAAGGTTGGGACAACCATTGATGTGGTTGGTAAAGAATACTTTGATGAGCTAATCAGCCGGAGTATGATTCAATCATCAAGGTTGGGTATAGAAGGAAGTGTTAAAACATGCCGAGTTCATGACATCATGCATGATATCATAGTCTCAATTTCTAGAGAGGAAAATTTCATCTATTTAATCCAGAGTAATGAAAATCATATACCACAGGAAAACTTCCGTCATGTTGCTTACCATGACAGCAAATGCCGAAAGGAAGGCATGGATTGGAGGCATATTCGATCATTAACTTTTTTTACTGAGGGGTCCGGTGGTATGAATCTGGATCTCACACCTTCAATTTCTACACCGAAGTTGAGGATTATAAGAGTTTTGGATTTTGTGGGTGAAAATTTTAGAATCATACAAGATGGTATAAACAAGATAGTGCTATTGTGTCACTTGAAATATCTGAAAGTCAGGGCTCATTGGTCAGCAAATATCTATTCAGTTCCGAGTGACATAGGAAAAATGCAAGGCCTTCAAATTTTGGACATGGGATGCACTTATATTACAACTCTGCCAACAGAAATCACTAAACTTCAAGATCTCCGTATCATCCGCTGTAATAGGAACCACTATTCTATTTTGGATCCAGATGAACCAGCGCATTGTTTGTTGGGCACATTGTGCCTGCCAATCCCAATAGGTGATTCAGTCATCCGTCGCTCAGCAATTGGTGATCTACACATGGGCTGCTCGATCTAGCGGTTGGTCCAAGACTGGTGGAGTTGGAGTGAGGGTTCCAAGAGGAATTGGAAACCTAAAAGAGTTGGAGATATTAGAGTCTCTGTGGACATTAGAAGAACTAGCAGCAAAGCAATTGACGAGCTCGGGGAGCCGACCAGATCAAGAAAATTAGCCATAGCAACAAAAGGGGTTTCCAAGAAAAAGTGTAAGATACTTTGTGCATCCATTGAGAAGCTCTCTTCCCTTCGTTCTCTCAGTGTGGAGGGCCTGGAGGCCGACAAACACCAGGGTAGAGGACTTGGATGATTGATTTCCACTTCCTCCCCTCCTCCCCACCTGAGTAGCCTCAGCTTGTCCGGATATATTGGAGAGATGACTGACTGGTTCCGGAACCTTACACAGTTGGTGAAGATTTCCTTTAAGTGTAGCGAGCTAAAGGAAGATAAAACCATAGAGATACTTGGGGAGCTCCCAAAACTGATGCTCCTTCGAATTGATTACCATGCATACCTTGGGGATAAATTAGAGTTTGGAACCAGAGCGTTCCTGAACCTCAGGACTCTTCAGATTTGGTGTATGGAAGACCTGAAAGAGATTAGCTTTGAGGAGGGCACCTCCCCTCAGATGGAAAGGATAGAAATCGGGTACTGCATTTTGAAGTCAGGGATTATTGGTGTCAAGCACCTTCCAAGGCTCAAGGTGATTTTTCTCGATTATGCTTCCAAGTTGGCAAGGCTCCGCATGCTGGAAGAGGAAGTGAACGCACACTCCAATCATCCTGTCCTGCAGAGGACCGAAGCCACCATGACCTGGTAGACGTTGAAGGATCCGATATGGAGGTGGAAGCACTAACAACGACCGACAGGTCAGTGAACCCTGTGCAGTAGCAGCTTTACCTTCTCGTTTCCTTCACTACTACAAAAACAAATTTGCGCAGCGTTGCGATAACGCTCTCCGCGGCGGGCTCCTATTTTTGCCCGCTACGGTAAATCCCATGATTTACCGCGGCGGGCATTTTTTATTTACTGAGGCGGGCACTTTTGTCCGCCACGGTAAATCGGTGTACCGTGGCAGGCATCCTATAAAGCCCGCTTCGGTTAAGGCCGAGGCCCAATAGGCCCAGGCGAGGCCCGTAGCGGGTATTGGTATAAAATGAGCACTTAGGGTTTCAGTCCTCTTACCTCTCATCCCAAGGCGCCGCTCCCACCTCGCGACCCGCGACGAGCACCTCCACCCCGCGACGACCCGCGACGCACACACTCCCTCCGTCGCCAGCGTGAAGGCCTCTCCCACTCCCTCTCTCTCTCCCTCGCCGGCGTGTGAAGGCCTCTCCGCGGCGCAGGGACAAGCGAGGTCGCGCGCGCCACCACCTCTCCGTCGCGCGCGCCGCCGGCATGTGAAGGCCTCTCCGCGGTGCAGCATCGAGCAAGGTCGCGCGCACCACCACCTCTCCGTCGCGCGCGCCACCACGCAGGTCCAAGACTGTGACCGGATCTGGCGAGGAGAGCGCCGCCGTGCCCGGTATCTCTCTCTCTCCCTCTCTCTCCCACCCTCTCTCTCCTCTCAGTACCTCCCTCATCTCTCTCTCTCGTAGGCGAGGAGCTGCGTGGCGCGCAGGGACGGGTGATCCACACGGCGGCGGATCCATGCGGCCGCGTCGACTCCCTGCGACGTGGATCCACACGGCGGCGGATCCAGGGCGGCCGCGTCTACTCCCTGCTCCCACGACGTGGATCCACACGGCGACGACACGGATCCACGGCGAGACGGCCCCAACCTGCGGCAATGGCGCAGATCCTGCGAGGATGACCTCCCCGGCGGCAGATCCGGCAAGGTGGAGACCCCGGCGGCGGATCCAGCGAGGTGCAGTGGCGCCAGTATTGGGTTGTGAATGGGCTCGTCGGTGGGCTCGAGAATGGGCTCGCCGGCGGGTTCCTAGGTTTTTTTTGTTTTTTTTTGAAACATTTAACCGCAGCGGGCAAAGCGGCCCGCCGCGGGAAGGCCACGATTTACCATGACCTTCCCACACTGGCGGACGCGTTTGCCCGCTGCGCAAAAGCAAATTCGCCCGCAGCAGAAAACGTTTCTGTAGTAGTGCTTTATTTTCAGCAGAATTTTATGCTCACAATTCGGCTCTCTGCTTGTCCACAGTGAAATCCAGTCCGTTAGTTGACGCTACTGCCTGCTGCTCTGCTCTCTGTACGCCGCCGCTGCTGCAGGTCTCGGCGTGCCACGAAGGGTACCTTTCGCCGTGTTGGCAGCTACTGCTCGAATCTCCTAGTGTTTGATCTGTTTCATCTGTTTGCTACAACAAGTAATGATGTTTATTCGAACTTGCACATTGGGTCCGTTTACTTCCACACTAGATAATCAGAACGACATGCCAACAAACGGCGTTATGCTCCATCTTTATTACAAAGTCATCCCATGTCGATGATGTAAACAAATAACCATTTTGTATGTTCTGAATTCTATTGCACGTAACACAGTGAAAGATTTCATAACTAAACACCAAGGCTTCTGCTTCTATTATTATTTTTCTATTAGTTTTTTTAACTTATGATGAGTTTTGAGTACATGGATGGAGCTCTGCTTGTCGTCTGGGTCGCTTGTTGGTGCTCGGAGAGTCGGAGTAGACTCACATGTGCTTGTAGATAATCTTCACAGCCGGGATGATGTGGTTGGCTAGGATCTACAAACCGATCTTGTTCTCACAGCCCCTAATGTCTCAGTTACTCATTGACTAAGTTGATTAATTCTACCTTTCTTCTTGATGAAAGGCTTAGTATCCCTAGTCTCACTCTAAATAGAGCAGTTATATATCAATTCTTTTTTTGCGATAGTGACGATCAACTCAACACCACTAAATCACTATATTTATAGCAGATTATTCTATGTCAATGAGACAATCACTTATACTTAATATATACCTAATATCAAAAAGCAAAAAATTTTGCCTCTAAATTTTCGTCTAGCCAAATCAGGGAATGGCTTGACCATCCGCTCACCAAAAACACCGCTCTAATCCGAGCTAGAGTGTTCATAATAGTTTTTCTTACATTTCCTTTTTTTTTTGTTTTCCATTGAAGTATGTCTTTTTTATAAATAGTAAAAATAAATAATAAATACAATATTATGAATCTTTCAACCCTTGACTTTTTTCTAGTACATAAAAATTTTTACCAATATTTTTATGTAGTTCTAATTAGAAATAAAACTTATTTTTATTAAAATCTAGATCAGCGGTGGTTCAACTGATTTGTAAACTAAAATCATAAGCAGTTTGATACTCAATTAATCAAAATAAATGTATCTTCAAAAGAAACATGTTTGCTTTTGCTCAATGAACACATAAATGAACTCGGCAAAGCAAATATATGTAATAATGCTGGCAATTCCATCATCTATCCACGCAAACTTGCAAAACTGGTGGCCATGGGAACTCACACTGATATGCCACCCTGTTTTCCCTAGTATCCTTTGCTGCAGGCGCTACCTCCATGGTCTTGAGGTCAAGAGAGAAGGGCCAGTGTTGTTTTCGTTGCCGCGGCGATATGACAACAAACCCCAAGCCTCTCTTCACGATGAAAAGTGGTTTATTGAAGAAGGATGGCTGGTAGCCAGGAAGGCCGCAGGTAACCTTGGACAACAGGACCTTGTTCTCCAAACCCCACACCCTATATCCACCCTTGCAAACACCTCCGAGGTATGGTCCATTATGGTGACGATGCGTGGCTCTCCATCCCCACCATCGACGATGGTAAAGTTTTCTGTCCAGTTGTGGGCATCCCAGCAGTTTTTGATGGCCTGTGGTAACACCGACGACAAGAACTTGCCAGTGCTACCATCAAGGGTGATCAACGTCCCGTCTTGTTGGAGGCAAAAGTAACACGAGCCCAGCACGTGACCCCAGTAGTAGGATATGATGAACCTAGAATGTAGCCTTGAAGAAATGTGGTCGATGGCCTTCTCGCTCCACGTCGCGTCCGTATCGCCGACGGCAGTGAACACGGTGGAACGTGCGACACCATCGTCACGACTGAAGAGCACACACAAGACCCTGAAGTTTGACATGCTGATGCGCCCTCCAGCCTCATTGATCTTCATCGCCGTCGATGAGGAAGGGACCCCGAAGCTTGCAATTGGCCCCGTCGAAGTCCGGCGGTTGAGGGATGACCTTGTAGCGCTTCGTCAGAGGCTCACAGACGACCAAGTTAGGGAAGCGGCCGGAGATGTACGTCCCAGGAATACACTCCATCAGGAGGAGGCTGCCGCGGCTATCCAGAACATCCCATGATTGATAGCAGTCCCAGACCCGATCTGGGAATATGCACGCGTCTACGACGAAGTCGAGGGAGAAGTGGCGGGCATCAATGGATGACGAGGGGACAAACGATGGATAGCGACGGGTGATCCTTGCATCATAACTATTGTAGTAGTCGCCGGCGACGGGAGGTCTGTGGAGAGAGCGATAGCGGCGGAGGAAGCCAGCGTCGGCGATGAACTGCATGTGGACGCGGCGCCGATGAGGCTGACGGGCGAATCGATCCGCTCGAGGATCCGAACCAGGGTGTCGTCCACGTCCATGGCTGCTAGCTAGTGCTAGCTAGCTTAGCTCTGCGACTGCGCTTGCGTGCAAAACCCTACCACGTTGTTGGGATTGATAATGAATTGATCCCGTACGTTCATGAATAGTCTATCCCAAACACCGCGTGCGTATTATTGCCGTATTGGACTTGGTTTTGGGCTCTGATGCATTGTGGAGTGGTGGACCGACCGATGAGGCCTATACTGCAGTCGGCATGTATGAAATTTGTAGGAAGTCTTTCTTTGATAAAGCTGAACCTCAATCGGATGAGAAATTCAGAATAGTTTGGGCGACGGTATGTAACGAATTCAGAACTGTTCTGTGAAACCATATGATGAGAAATATAATTCATGTCTATTCAATTTTGTAATTATCCACTCTCTACGCTCCAAATCATAAGTCATTCTAATTTTATTGTAAATCAACATATATATCTAACTTTGACCAAATTTATAAGAAATATATTTACATATATACTGCCAAATAAATGCACTATTCAATCATATTTTATGATGGATTTAACGACGGTAAATATTCAAACATCTTTCTACAAAGTCCATCATAGTTAGAGAAGTTTAACTTAATCGTATCGTTTGACATGAAAATAAATCTCCTGAGTAGCAAGCTACAAATCAAAATATGGAAGAAGAAAAAAAAGAAATCTCCTCAAGAACAAGTTCTTGACAAAATATAAATTTATAAAAAGGATAGAGCATCTCCACTAGATATCATATCCAATCCCATATGCCTAGAAGTATTTTAGGAGATGGAATTGTTGTTGCAGATCTCATATCTCATCTGGATACAACCCTCTCAGCCCTATCTATAAAGAAATATAGGAAACAAGTTCTAGGTAAACTGCTACAACAGTGCTCTTTTATATCGTATATTGATTTTAAGGTACTCTCCAAAAACAACTTATAGGAGATGTATGAAAGCCCCATGTTGGATTTTGGCTAATTGAGACAACCTAATGAACTAACCATCTACTCTAAGTGTTGTGATTGAGTTAGGTTAGTTCACATCCATGGTGGAGCTAGAGGGTACTCAAGGGGGTGGAGATGGCCACAAGACGGTGATCAAGTTCTCCATATTTGGAAAAGAAGAAAGATAAAACAAAACCCTATGGACTCAAGGCAAAGGTATAAATAGAGATTTTGTTTTGCCGGTCAAGACGCAATAGAATGTGTAATCAGGTTTAGGATAGATGGTCATACTATTAAGAGGA